CTTAAGCATTAAATCAGAGGCTGAATACTGTAATTTTTCCTATTTTTCCAGTAAGAACTTGGTTGCTGATTAAAGTCTTTGGCAGGGAGTAGGCAAAAATTAATGCATTAACAACCTAACAATGAAATCAAAGTGATTTAGTGTAGCATTATCTAAAAGAAATTATTTTTTGTTAGTACTGTGTAATGTTCTTTTAACAGATGACAATGATTTATTTCTACTTCGATGAATGATTAAACTAATCAGTGAATTGCTGGAGAGATGCTTTGTTAAATTAGTCCCATATTCAATTGGGAGTCTTTAATCTATTGCTCTGTGTGCTTATTTGTCATTGAATTCGCAGGGGGATGTACAGGTTCTTCTTTTGTTTACATGAATATGAAATAGAACATCTTCTTTGATTATCAATGGAATTTCATTGTTTTAAACCAGGGAAAATGAGACAGTGGGGCCTTTCTGTCTTTGGTTTTGTTTGGAGATGCCTTTAAAAAAACACTTTATGCAATCCTTTTAAAATTACTTGACTTACTTTTAAAGGAAATTCACTCTGCTTATTTCTAATATGCAAGGTGCTTTTAATTAGGAGTATTTGCAAATTCTGAGGTAATGATTTGTTAAAAATCAGGAAGAGTTGGTGATTTATTTGTACATTTTCTCTATTACACTAGATAAACCAATGCTGTACTGTTTTTATTAGTCCACCCACAAGACTCCAACCATTCATGAAAATTCTATGAATGAAGAAGTTGACAATGAAAATAAGAGTTTCAGGAAGCTAATATTAATGGAAATGCTTTTGTAACAACTTTACTGTCCAAAGCCAGCATTCATTAGGCCAGCTTACAGTTCTAAGGAGAAAAACAACTGAGTTTTCTTGAGCATTTGGCATAAATGACATCTGGGTCCCTACAATGTGAGAACTTTCACGCTGTCAATATGAACTGACAATTTGCCTAGCAAAGAGTTATGCTGTGGGAGGTTAAGAAGAAAAGCATGAGAAGGTTTTTATGAGTTCTGTAAAATAGATTTTGCTGGTAATAGAAACCTAGAAGCCAACTTGGGTTTACTATATAGTATTATCTCCTTAAAACTGAAAATTGGCTCTTATTGAAATTACAATGTCCAAATCTATTTTACAAAAAAAAACCCAACAAACAAACAAACAAAAAACAACAAAGTAAAACCAGTTGAATTCCGGAACAAGTTATACCATTATTATAACCTTTGACCCCAACAACATTAAAAATATCTGAAGACAGATCACCCGCATCTACACCATGAAGACAATGTGAGATCACTTGGTATGAGTAAACAAGTCATTGCTGGAGTTCATCTTTGATGTTATTTACCCTTACAGGAAAAAAAATAACTCCAGGTTTTGATAATTAATTAAGTATTAAATCCAGCCTTAAACCCACAGTGCACACCCTGACAAACAGGCAGTTGGAACAGCTAGAGGATGCAGGGAAACATCTTGAGAGCCCAGTGGTGATGTTATTTCCACAAGCTGAGTAATTCTACTGTGTCTGAGGGCTAAAACTACCTTTTGGTTAATTGTGTTGTAATTTTGCTTAAGCTGTTTGCACCGCCTATTTTGGACAGCCCAAAGGAAGGAATGAGCTGAGTGCTTATGGGAAGTCATAGAGTGAAGTCCCCTCTGAAAGAGGGAAAGGAGAAATGCCTTCTGTAGAGAGAAAAAAAGGAACCATGTGTTTTATACTTGCTTATGGGCAGCACTTGAGTTTCAGACTTGTATGATTTCTGTGTGACCAGTCAGTTTGTGTTTGGTTGGACAAAGAGTTCCTGAAATGATCCTGCAGTCTCAGCAATAATACAGATCTGTGATTTAAATGTCTGAAGAAGAGTCACGTGCGAGATAAATGCAGGTTTCTCCCAGGTCATCCTAAGCAATTGCTTGCTCTTCATTAAGTTCAAAGCAGCTGAAATGCCACCAAGCAGCAGGGACACTTAATCCTTTGGCCTTACAACCCCCCACACCCCATCACTGGACTGTGTATTTTGCTTTATGTGTATGGAAAGTTTATAAGTGTGGTCTTCGGCAAAGCGGATCTGTTGAACATTTTAAGGTGGCGTGTAGACTCTGTCTGATGTCTGTGCCATGTCCTGAATTTTCAGTACTTTGCTAGGTGAGGCAAAAGTGTCTGAGGGCTCCTGTGGGCATCGTGGCTTTTCACAGAGAACTGTATTCAGCCTGTTTTTTCTCCTGTGTCCAGAGAGCGAGTAGATTTCTCCACAAGTTAGGCAGAGGGACAACCAGCATGGTGATTTTATCTGTCCCTTCTACTTTCCTCTGGCTCCTTCACACCACCTTCTCAACCCTTATCTTGTTCTTTTGCTTTTTAGACTCTCTGAAGTGATATCTAATCCCTCAAGATTTGATCCAAACTTGGCAGTTATTTTGTTGTTAATCAGTAGCTATAGCTAGGCAGGTGTGATTAAGCAGTTGCATTGTGAAACTCAGAGGCTTGGTTAATCCTTTGTTTTAAAGAAAAGGGAACACAATCCCAAGATGAATGGGCTGTTTAGAAAAGAGCCACTGGGAGTGAAGTCAGCAGGACTGAGCAGTAAATGGGGGAAAGGTAATTCTGGCAGTGGGAGATTGCAACCACCAACCCATTGAGCACCTTCTAAAAATGGAGAGAAGAACTGTACGGGCAGACTAATTAGCATGAGAAGCAAGAGATATAGTTAGCAAATAAGGATTGGAGTAGATTTGAGTACTAACTAATGAAAAGGATATGTAGTTTGTAACCAATGAATGTTGATGCCTTTGTTGGTTAAAATGTATAAATTGTGTGAAGTTTTGATGATTGGTGTTTTCTGGGTTACCACCCAGCTCCCTACTTTGCACAAACTGGAGTGAAAAATAGAAATACCTCTCCTTGGTGTGTGATTGGCCATGCACACCAGGTAAGAAGCCAATGTTCAGGACAACAGAAGGACAAGGGTTTCAAAGCTTCGCATGCTTTTGGAAACCAAAGCATTTATGCAACTGACAACTGATATTATCATTTTTGAGCATAACAGGATATAAACCTCACTTGAAGGACAGCAAGTAATCTCAAGCAATGTCAAAGGTTCTTTGCAACTCAAAGAATTTGGTAACTCCTGAGTGTTTATTTTGGGGGGTCTAAAGCCACACAACATGGACTACAGGCACAGAATTTATGTGACAGTGTTCACTACTCTTAAAAGCAAGAGTTAAATGGCTGCTGCCTTTGTCTGTGGTTTGTCACAGCCTTGCCTTTGTATAACTACCTGTCTTGGAAGGAGCTTTGATATATCTTGAATGAGAAAGAAACTGTTATTTATAAAATATATCTCTTCTACATTTCCTTTAATTACCACCCCCACATCCTTCCTTTACTGAGGTAATGAGCTCTCGTTTGGTCAGGGTCACCTCAGAGATGAATCTCAAGTCCTTTGAATCTCAAGATATCCTCCTAGTTCAATAACTGTAAATTAAAAAATGTTCTTGAGAAGGCAGATGCAGGACAAGAGTGCAGCTGCACACTTAGTACTGCTCCACTGTGCTGTCAGTGGGTTCCTAACTGTGGCTGAGCCTCAGGACACTAAAATTTATTTTTCTGCTTTAGCATATCTTAATTCACAGTTAGGATAACAAACATGTTTTAATGTTTTTCGTTAGAAAGCAGGTTGTGACTTTATACTAGCTGAACAGAGTCTTAATTTGCTGAGAAAAGAAGACAAAGCAAATAAATATAAGGAAGTAAAGAAATGAGACAGCAGGAATGAGTTCTAACAAGTGCAGAGTTTGTGCCGTAACACTGGGTCTGTTTTCTGGACCACATACTGTGTTGCAATGCCTGGTGAATACATGATGTAAAGTCAGACGTTGCTCTGTATGTGTAAGTGAGGCCAAGTGCTGCTGCCATTCTGCCTCGTCCTCCCAGAGAGTTCTGCGGTGCTGCATCCTGTCGCCGTGGCATCTGCATTCTCAGAGGCCTGTGCAGTACCTTCTGTCTCTGCTGCAAAGTCAGCTTTTGACAGGTTTGACAAATAAAAAGCCCTGCACTGTTGTTTGCATGAGGAGAATATTAACTCTTGCATTGTAGACAAATCCCATTCTGTATCAAAATCACACTGCTTTAAATTCACCTGTCTCTTCACAACTTTTTTTTTTTTGTATGCTGTTCTGCATTGATGCCCTGTGTGCTGCTTAAGTGATTGTCCCAGCCTCACTAAAGGTGAATGACCTGGGGTTTACAGGAAGATGTCCCACTCATAGTTTAGGGATCCTCTGGAATGAAGACTGTGCAGATCTAATTTATTACTGTGTTTGATGCACAGGAGAGCAGGACAATTTGACCTTGCAATTTTATGCCCTGCTAAGCAACTACAAGAGCTTCTTAGCTGAAATCGTCCCTTTCTAATTTTAATTTATTCTGTGTCTGGGCAGCTGACAGTTTAAGGAGCTGCTGTCAGGCTACAAATATCTTTGCCTAAGGCTTTGGACTGACCCGTCCCAGTGACACAACCATGGAGGGAGCCAGGATGACTCCAGATTCTCAGTGCGTTTCTGTCATCACCTTGTTCCCTGTTCTTTTCTTCCTTTCTTCCCCAGAGGTATCTATTGTATATCAGCTCAGGAAGGTCACTTGCATGGATTCTTTTTTTTTTTTATTTTTTTCTGGTTGTCATATTTCCCCTGTGTCCTTGCCTAGTGGGCTCATGGTCAATATCTGCATCAGGACTTCAGGCAGTTTTGGTTTTGCAGAAATATCTTTTATCTTCTATATCACATTTGTTGCATTCTGGTTTGGGGAGTGGGGATAAGACCTGTCCTACATCTACTTACCAGCTAATTTCTGCCCTTTTATTTTTTTTCCTTAGCTCCTAATTATCCTTTTTCTTTCCTCACTTTGAGCCCTGCCAGCTCCCCGGGTTCTCCAGGAGTGGCTGCTACAAAGATGTATGTGTTCTCGTCTGTAAAACCGGTCCTTGTTTTGTGTTGCTAGGCTACTCCTTTCCAGCTGCCATTGAAGAAATGCTCCGTGGTGGGAAACGGTGGGATCCTGAAAAAGAGCGGCTGCGGCAAACAAATAGATCAAGCAGATTTTGTCATGCGGTAAGACAGAAACCTCAATGCCACATTGTCCCTCCTTCCCCCTGCTAAGTCTCAGAGTTTTCAAAGCTATTCAGTTGTGATTAATCAAGTACAATTTGCCTTGTTGCCTCGCCTTTGCAGGATGCTTTGTACAGGCAACTTGGGTAAAAGTGTGAGGAGAGGAAAAAAAAAAGAGTTTTGACTGGCTTCTGCAAATGGTTGTGTGTGGTGTGGGGACAATCTGCCAGTGGTTAAGGTTGTGACAGATGGTGCAGTGTCTCAGGGAGGTACTGAGGAGCTGCTTTTCTCATTATTTTTGTAATGATAGGCAGGGTCTCATCCTGAGGAATGTCCTCTGAAACTCTAAATGCCATCTCTGCAACCCACTGAACTCAAGATGAGTAGGTGCTGATTATGAGGCAAGACTTAAGATCTAAGTTGGTACAAGCTGAAATCTTCCTGTGTTTTTCTTCCCTCTGGCTGACTGTCTGAGGAAAGGCCAGACCTCTTTCCTTGATGCAGAGTTTTTGGGATTCCTCACATTTCCTTCCCTTCTAGCCTTCCTGAAGTTATAAGAACCTGTCAGGAGGGATGTTGAACCAGCTACTGCTTTCATGATTGAATTTGACACTTTCTTGGTCTGCAATCTTTAAGGAAGAAAGACAGAAATTAGTTCCTCCCTGTTAAACATGAACAAGAGAAACATTGTGAAGGAGAAACCGGAGGAATGCTCCCAAAGAGACGAGAAATGGAGGTTTTTTGGGTTTTGACATGAGTGCATAATGAACACCCACTTTAGCAAGTCTCCTTATTAGATCCTGATGGCTTATTTGTAAAGCTGTACAAATTTGCTGCAAACCAAACAGTATTACTGTAATTTCTAGTTTGCATCTCAAAGACAAAAAATGCCTTCTATGTTAAAGAAATAAAACAAAATAAAGGCAAAAGGAAACATAGAGCAGAAGATGCAAGGCACAGGGGAGAAAGGCAACACACTGATTGCCATTACTGCAAAGCTCCCTAGGTGTTCCACAGACTAAATATAAGAAACTGCAGGGTGTGTACCATGGTAATATTACCTAGATGCAATGGGAAACTGAAATGCTGTAGGAGCAATCAGTTGCAAAAACAATAGAAATTTAAAAAAAAACCAAACAAAAACAAAAACAAAACCAGCAGTTATTGTAGCTGGATGAGGAAAAAAAAACTTTTCTCTCCAGGGATGGTAAAGCAACCACTTGTTTTGAATTGGAAATAAATGATAGGGAGTTTTCTGCAAAAATCTGTAGGCTATATTGTGTTACTGATGTGCAGTCATATTTGTGTGTCAATTCTTTTGGATTAGAAACTAATACACCCCTGGGAGAAAATATTTTTACAGCAGGGGAAAGAGAGGATTTGGTTGATCTTTTATAAATCTGATTTCTGTAATCGCAGAGCTGAGAGAGAAAGAGCACAGTGGTAACCTGCATAACATTTTTCATTTTTTGAAAAGAAATTTTTGTAATATCTTCAAAGTATTTCTGCAGTGCAAAATGTCATGCCAGGTTTTGTCCTTGTTCTTTTATTCCACCCACATGGGTTTTGATTTCACTTATGTGTATTTGCCATCTTCTCTCATATATTGTAATCACTAAGGTTATTTAATGAGTTTAAACTCATTGCTGAGCATCTTCTACAAACACAGTTTTTCCAACACAGAGATGAAAAGAGCAGCAGTTTTCAGCCCCTAAGGCATAGCATGCTGCATCTGCAATGAAAAAGGTGCATGGCATATGGTTTACATGTTTCATAGTGTGGTTATTAGTGTGGTTATCTTCTGATATCTGGCTGTTTTTCAAGTTTGTAATCCTTGTTTCTAAGAAAAAAAATTGGTTTTACACCTCCTGCTAATGCTTATTTTATGAGAGAAATGTAGGGTACTCACCCAAAGCCATGTATTTGTCTCTGTTTTGATGATGTTTCCTTCTTTCCTGCGTGTTCACATACTCACTCCTCAGTACCAGATGTAACAGTAAGAGAATTAGAAAGAAGTTTCTTAGGATGAATATTTTATTTCTTGATGTGCTCCTCACCAGCACAACACTTGGCACTCTGCTGGCATATTCAAGAAAATAGTTAGAAAGGCCAAGAAGATTCTGTTAACCAACTGATTTCTTACAGCTTTCTCTGGATACTCAGGGCTTTTCTTAATGTTTAATGCACAAAAAAGTGGGAGTGAGACTTACTGATGAAAGGAATTAGATGTGTTTAAACAATGCATCTGGGACTGCCTTATGAAAGAATTTTCATTATTGATGAAAATTGATGCTGAGATGATAAAAAGCAGGGTGAGATCTTAGTCCTTCATAGTGCCTTTGAATAAACTTTAATCAAAAGCAGTTTCTTACAAGCTTGCCCTATGAGTTAGTGTTTATGCAAATTGGAGAGCATTAAACTGTAATCTGGCAGAGGCATTTATGCCATCTTGCTGCCCTGAGGCAAATCACCTATATATATATTTCTTCACAAATATTTGTTTGACTAGCCATTGAAAACTGCTGCTGAGAGAGTTTGTACAATCTCTCCAAATAGTATTGATCTGATTAATTTGTATCCTACCCAGCGCTGGGGCAGGAAGCAACCTATTGCCAGATTTGATTTGATTTGATATTTTTTTATTTTATTTTACTTTACTTAGTTTTTATATTACTTTATTTTATGTAAATATTTTTCGATTCTTAAGATTTTCGTTCTTTATGTCTGAGAATTAAGCTTCCATTATGCTTCTATTTTTAACTTTCAGTTCCTGAAACCTCTTATTTTGGTTCCTCTTTTCTGGCTTCTTTTGAAGTTGTCTAGCTTCTCTTAAATTGTGGTAGACCAAGCTAGAAGCTGTTTTGTAACTGTAATTGTGCACATTTTGACAAATATAGTCATGAAAAGGAGAAAATGTTCCTGGAAAATTTATGTTTCTTGGTGAATGTGGTTGAATTAATCTATGTTCCACATAGGCCAGACATCACTGTCCTTCTTGGTGTTTCCTGATGATGTGAAATACGATTTTGAGAGCTGGTATTTGCATGCAAATACATGCAGATATAGCATTAATGTGGGTTTTTTCTTACGGAATGTGGGGTATTTTGCATTAGCCAGAATTGCACAGTGTGCTGTGTGGGCACCGGTGCCCTCTGCGGGCACTGACACCGCACAAAGCCGTAACACGTGGAGGTGCAGCCAGGAATTTATGCAGCCTCATTCTGCTGCCACAAGCACCTGGATCCCTTCTCCAGGCACTGCAGAGGTCAGTGAAAACGCACAGAGGCAGTGACTGCTGTGGAAGCAAGGGCTTTCCTTGTGCTGAGACTGATTTTTCCCAACGTGGCAGATGCGAACAGCAACCCGTAATAAATAAAACAGCCCAACGGTTTCTGCAGTAGCCCCTGGAAACTGCTGTAAAAACTGAGCCATAGCTCACTTCCACAGCTCCTGCCTCTCACTAGTGTTGGAAAGAGGCCTCTGAATTGTTAAGATAAAAAAATCAGATCAGCAACTTGTTGTTGGACTCAGGGGTTTCATTACTGACACGGACTGTGTGGAGGATGCATGCAGAATTGGAGTGCTACAAAGAGGTTAATGCAAAAGATGGTGAGAAAAATGATGTGGCTCTTCAAGGTGTAAAGAATGCATCAAGGTGTAAAGAATGCATCAAAGGAACCCATGTCTCTCTGGTACTGAGAGGAGAAGTGATGAATGTGGAACAGTTCCTCTCTGAGCCACTGCCTGCCCTCTTCCAAAGCTGGGGTCTCACCCTGTGTGGGAGTGACTGTCTGCAGAGCTTAAAGCAACAAGGGGCTGCTTGAGCCCCTTCTTTAGGGTCCGTGTTTGCTCAGCACATGCTCTCAGTGGGGCAGGAAGAGACAGGAGCTGGCCCCCAAGCATGCCCCTTGTCTTCCTGTACCTCACGCGCTCCCTCTCCGTGCTGCACTTTCCCAGCCTGCTGCAGAAAAACAATTAAACCAGTGTGTGCAAATGGAGATGTCTTGATTTGGTGGTTGAACTTCAAAATTGGAGGTCAAATTTGGTTATGGTAGAGTTCAAAACTGGTTTTTGTTTTTCTTTTTCTTTAGAAATCCCCAGCGAAACCCCAAAACCCAACAACATAAACAATAAAAGTGTTTCTCTGGGAAAAATTCCAAATTCCACTTGATTTTTTTTTTCCTCTGTGTTTTCTTGGTAAATTCTGTACACCGAAGGTACCCCATAGTGAAATATTTAAAATGACAATTTTGCTTGTAATACCACAGAGTGGTAGGAGTCTGAAGCCTGATACTGGTAGATGAGGCAGACCAGAGTGCAAAGCACAACTTTAAAAGAGTTTGGATAAAAAATGTCAAGAGATAATAACAGCCTCTTCCACAGCCTTTCAGCCTGTCAGAAATGCCAAATGTGTGCCTTTGTTTTTGCTTAGCAGATAGATAGATATCATCTCTGCAAAAGGTTTTATTTCTGTATTTCCCCACAGTCTGGTACAAAAGTGTCCTATTGTGTTTGTAGGTCTGGTGCAGTAGGGAATATTTGGTCTGGTATTTATACATCACTTTTACATTTTCTGAAGCTTGTCAATCCTGAATGTCATTTAAAATCTTGCTTGTCTTTCTGTGCACAGGTGCAACCTTCCTCCTCTATCCAGTGAATACAGCAAGGACGTTGGATCAAAAACCCAGCTGGTGACTGCAAATCCAAGTATAATTCAGAAAAGGTAGACAGCATATTGTTCCTTTTCTGGTCGGGGGGAAACAAAAAGAAAAATGCTTCATCTGTGTTATAGATATTAGTGCATCAGAGTTGTGTTCTTAATGATGGTCTGATCCTGGAAGGGGATTTAAAAAAGGTGAAATAGGCAATGGTTTGGTGCTAGGTGAAATAATTAAAGACTAAAACCCCGATCCTTTCACTATAAGCAGGGAAACTAAGGAAGGTTGGCTTTCATAGAGTTATTTCATTTACCAGGCTTCCCTCTGTGCTTCCAGCTCCTTCCCTTTTCCATGTGCTGGGCATGTACCTGAGGTGCCTTGGCTGCTCCCAAGCCAGGCACCTACTGATGGGTGTCCCAAGCTACTCTGCTGGTCAGGCCAGCTGGCTGATGCATCCCACAGTTACAGGAGATGCTAATTTGGGTTTTTCTTTACTTCAACACCGATAACCTCTGAGTCTTCACTGTTTTCATATTCTTTGTTTGATAATAACTTACAGAGTACAAAAGGTTAGGATGGAACTCCTTGACAGGAGGTTGTGATCATACAAGCTTTGCTTTCTTAGGAAACTGGGACAGATTTTTGTTGTTTATTACAGTTGGTTGAAATTTTCCAAATGTCAGTAGCTGATGAGAGAGAGGGAAAAAAATAAAAGTCAATGCCATCTCTCTGATTTTGCCTTCCTGAATTTTAATTGCTATATTTTTTTGTTTATCCCCTGGAATGAGGTAGACTGTTCAGGCAGAAAAAGATCTGGTAGTAACCTGCCATGTTCACTGAAGAACACAAGAGAAAAGGCATAAACCAAGGGGATGAACAGGAAATGATTAGGCATAAAGAAATCTGTAATGGGAGCACTGCGAGGTGAAGGATTGTGAAAGGAAGCAAAGCAGGGAAATAAAATACATAATAGAAAGCCAGGTGTTTTAGAAAGAAGAAAGGCACTGGTTTGGAAATTGATGTTTGATGGCACTTAAATGTAGTATTTTTCCTCTCTAGCAGAATTGAAGGGTTCTCTAGTTTTGTATGTGGAAAAGATGTCAGTCTTTGACAAAGTAGAAAAGAGAGGGTGAGCAAGAGAGAAATGGAGTAGTAATCATCTTCAAGAGCTGATTCCAGGCAGAGAGTACCTGAATAGGGAAAGGCACAGAAGTGCTTGTGGGATGAGATCAAAGCAAAGCAAGCAAAATTGTCAGGGGATGGCACTGGGTGCCAGGCAAGGAGAGGGGCAGTGGATGTGAAGACAGGGAATCTGAAAATCCTGTGGGATGTAGATGGTGGATGAGGTTCATTTATGAAGTGGAATGAAATGGCCAGAATATCCCATCAAGGAAAGGAGATCAGTTTGGCCGTGGCATTCTGGATGAAATGAAGAGGAGCAGTATGAAACATAAAGCTTGCAAAAGATTTTACAGTTTTCAAGGCAGAGGATTATTTAACTCAGGGATATTTGTTTTGTACCCTCCCCTCCTTCAAGCCCTAGAGTAGAAAGCTCGCTGTACTTAGTATTTTTGAACAGAAAAGGGAAAGTGTTTTAGTGATGCTATGAGGAGAATGTGGAACTACACTAGAGAGACCGTAGAGTTATCCAGCAAGAGAGAAAGGCAGGAGTGAGCAGATGGTTGAAGAACCAGATGGAGAGAGCGAGGTGCTACTTTGTGAGAGGTGGGTATCACAAGGAGTGGCGGGGGGGATGGGGTTGAGAAATGGGGAAAAAAGAAAGGGAGGAAGGAAACAGGATTGTGATCAATGTAGTTTTCAAAGTGAGTGAACAATAACTGCAATGCAAGACCTTTGATGGGAAAGTAATGTGGAGTGCATATGCATGTGTATTGATTAGGAGGAAATCTACAACCAGGAACTGAGAATGACGCAGGGAACAAATTTATAGTGCTGAAAATTGGCAGAAACCTCCTCTGAGGCTTGAAGCTCTTGAGAGATTTGACACTTTGCTTCCTCTGCTTGGTCCAGAAGGGATTTTTTTTTTTTTTTTAAATAATAGTTGACTGATGTTTCCAGTGAGCTCTCCAAACTCATTATTTTACCTCCTGTGTGTTAAGATAGAGTGGAGGGGAAAAAAAACGTTAAATTTTTTGGGGTAAAAATAGAAACAAAGACTACCACTCTGTCATCAATTTATATGGAAAGAAGTTTTTTAAGGAATTAAGACTGCTTTTAAGTCCATACTTTCATGATATTCGAGGATGTTCAGATTGGTGGCTGATATGTGTCTAAGCTGTAAGTTAACTAGAGTCACATAATGGTATCATTCATTATCATTCTTCTCCTCTCCTCTTGTTCTTACTTGAAGTAGGTTGATATTGATGAGGTTTGACATCTCAATTATCTCTCAAGTGTGTTATGGCAGGTTTAGTGAATTGGTCTGGCAACACCATTCATGGCTTCTAAAAGATTTATCCTTGCCGGATAATTTATGATGAGGCATGTTGCATAGGGCAAAGTTTTCATGCCAGGGCTGTAGAGGCAATTTCCTGTCTGGTTCTAAAATCAGAATTAGTGCCTTTAGAAAATCAGATTGTTGGCAGTAATTATTGCAGAGATGCCACCATTTCCCTCCAGACTTAGAGCCTAAGGATGGGAGAGTCAATATTTTAATATGAGAGTACATTGACTGGAGATACCTTCTAAACATTGCCTTTTGCAAAACTTAGAGGTCAAGTCCCTACTCTGTTTTCAGCAGGAAGTGTAACTGTGCAGGTAGTACAGTTTTCACTTGTGAAATGTTTTTCACAGTCCTTATTTGGGTTTGGAAAATTATGGGGAATTTCCTACCCTAACTTCACTTAGTATAACACAGGAGAACTGACAATAGATGTATTATGGTAGAAATTTTCCCATCTGACTAAGAGGATGTGTGAGGACTGTCCCAGTTTCCCTTTTTGTCTAAAATATTTCACAGGCATCTCCCTTCAATTAATATTGGAACTCACAGTCCTTCAAGGCCGTGGAAAACTCCTTTCCCCACTTTGTATTCAAAACTTACTTTTCTGTCAAACCTTGGCTTGAGGTGGCATTTGGGATGGAAATGTTGCATAAAGCTACTCCTGGGGCCAATGTGACCTCTCCCTCCCTCTATCCCCCAGTATTGTTGTGGGACTGCAAAAAGGTTGGCATCGTTGATGTTTCCAGTTCATTCCCCTACTATCCTAGTCAGCTTGGCCTTATCTGCAGGGAACAACTTTGTAGGCAGAAGGTTATTCTATGTTTGTCCTGGGTTTTATTTTCTTTCCATGAGTAGCTGCTTTAAGTCCCTGCCAGGAAAGAGGCAGTGCAGTAGCGAGACCTGTGATGTGCCTGCAGCTGTTCTTAGACTCTGGGAAAAAATCAATGAGGTTATGTCACTTACAGCGACTGTTTCTATATTCTGAACACTTATCTACAGCTGTGAAGAGGGACTAGTCAGCAGGTAGCATGTGAAGGTAAAAATGCTTTGTAGGTAGTGATGATATTCAACCACTGGCGTGAGATTTTTAACTAAGAAATACAAAGAGGTACTATTTGGGATGTGGATTATTATATGTTTCTAAAGTCACTGGATCTGGGCTGTTTAAGAGAAGCAAATTCTATGAATTTGCTATTGTCTTCAACAACTCTTGCAAATGTCATACAATTACACTTTTTTGTCTAAACTTTTAATTAAATCTGCAAACAAATGCTGTTTGCAGCAATATTCCTTTCTAGTTGTCACATCTGCTTACTCTGTCTAATCCAGGCACACTTATATCATCAGCAATAGTCTAAATAGATTGTTTCCCAGCATTCAGTGAGTTTCAGATCAACTGATGTTTGTCAGTGAGTATTTTATCCGCAAGCTGTGAGAGTTTTTCTGGCCTGTGTAGAAATAATCCCGTTGGAAAATGGCACGGTGACTCGCAGCATTCTTTATTCACCATGGTCCAGCATTGGACAGAAGTCCTTGAGGTATTAACACACACCTCTCTACACCATTTTTGAAACATAATCCCTCAAAGCAGGAGCTTTGTGCCTGCAGAGCTGAGCTCTGCCACTCCTGTTTCATGTCCTCTCCCCTCATCAATAAATCCACTTGGATGGGGACCAGTCATTCCTGTGTGTGTCTAGGGCTTTGGAGGTTACCCTACTTAGATTAATTGTGAAGATTTCTGTGAAATATCTCTGCCAGAGACAGGCTGAGGGTGTAGGTGAATCCATATTTCTGCTACTACGGTGATTCGACCGGAGTGTGCCTTGTTACTTTGAATATAGAAATAAGTGAAGGGTTAGTTGAAGTGATATCCATTTCATTCTTTGAAACATGTATGTTTTTATTTAGGACTTTACGGTGAAGTCTCTCAGCAGTTGTGTAACATTACCAATGGAAACAGTCTGACTGAAACTGGGATGACCAGATTTAGGATCAGCCGTTACACTCTGCAGCTCAATATGAACTTCCATCACTGAATGTGAACATTTTTCTTTCAGTAAATTAATTCCCTTTTTTGATCTCCGTGATATTTGACAAGTTTTTTCTGCATCCAGTTTCTTGCACTAAAGCATGATGAAGGAATGAGACTAAAGGGTAACAAATGCAATGATTCTGCCTCTGAGCTTTGAAATGTCAGTTAAATATCGCTGCTGTTTATTAGGTTCCCATGGATTTTGAGTGGGATTAAATTTGCTTTCCGGTGTTCCCTGCATCTTAGAGACAACTAATAATCTTTCCTGGATTCACTCCTCAAGACATCTTCGAATCCTACTGACTTACACCATTATGAATAAAAAGATGGAACTGAGGCAATAATTTAATTTAATAAAAGCTTCCTTCATCTCTGATTAAACAATTGTACAATATTATGCCTCTTTCTGACACTCACGAAAAAGAGAATTCCTCTTGACTGTGTCTCCATGTAAAAACTATATATTCTGTTCCTAGGTAGTTACATTATAATTTAGTAATTGCTAAAGATCAGAAAAATAAAGACAGAAAACTACTCATAAAACATGTTATTGAAGGAAAACTCTTCAT